CAAAACTCAGTATTTTTCGGTGGTTTTCGGTGGAAAAAGTGTTAATGTAGTATATTAATATGGAGTAAAAATTTTACTAATTAATTTACTTTTACTTTACTAATTAAATTCGTTCCAAAAAACGATACGCCACTGGCCATTAGAACAATCCAAATGCGCCTAGTTGCCGGCTCGGTTGCCGGGGTCGGAAATTTTAGACTTCTCTGTCTCTTCTGTCTTTGTTTGACACATTGGAATGTTTGATACACTACCAACGAGCATTTATGAATGAGATGCTCGGTCTATCTTTATAATGTCTTTGCGTTTTAGCGTGTCCCAAGCATGCTCGATCACATTCATATCTGGAGACATCGCTGGCCACCACAGTTTTCTTATACCTTCTTCTTCACAAAATTCGCGAACCGTTAAAGTGCGATGGGGAGGAGCATTATTGTCCATGTAAACAAATTCATCCCCCACTCCCCTCGAAATGGACGCACAATAGGCTCTAAAACGTCTCTAAGATATGAGGCACCTGTCATTGTGCCATCAATTAAAACAAGAGGAGTTCGAGCTCCGTGCATTATACCTGCCTATATATACCATGATGCTTCCCCTTGAAACGGGACACAGGGTTGAGCTGCATTCAAGCGTGCTCGTCTTCCAGATGCTCTCCAGACCAAAGTTCGTCGCGAGTCTGACAATAGGTCTATTCTTGTTTCATCACTAAACATGACGAAATTCCAATTGGTCCATTTGCTCTCATCTCCTCAGCCCATTGTAGTCGCGTAATTTTGTGTTGTAAATTAAGCTTCGGAACACGTAGAGGCCTCCTTAAATGTAATCCTCTGTCATGGAGAGTTCTTGCTATGGTCTTTCTTGAAACATTTACTCCTTCAAGGCGAGCTAACTCATTTTTAATAACAGTACTAGAAAACAGGGGATTGCGTCGTGCAATTAGGGATATTTGACGGTCTTGCACAGCAGTAGTAACTCTCTTTCTACCTCTTCCAGGCCGGTCTGTAACCTCGTTTGCCTCCCTGATTTTTTTAATATTCGCGAAACATCGCTTTGGTTAACTCCTACAATTTCAGCTATTGCAACTTGCCGGTAGCCCTGTTGAGACAGTGTTACTATTCTGACTCTATTAAACTGTGAAATAATGTTTCTAGGCATTTTAAGGCCAAAACAATGGTCAAATTTCTTCTGAAACCCAAGCGATCACAAATCGAAATGTGCAAGAATTTGTAATAATATTGGGTCTGAACGATAAACATTGTTTACCATATCCATTTTACCCAAAAAATGTGTATTACAAATTATCAAAGCTATGTATAAAAAAAGATTCTTTAAATTCCTTTCCGTATATTTTTAAACGATATATGCAGTAATTTTGGCCATGTGTGTAGTTTTCTTATCCGATAGTCAAGCAGCTTTAAAAGTGACCAACTCAATTCAAAGTATTTGGCGACATAATTCCGGAAAAAAGCCGATTCACTCCTAAATTATCAAAAGCTTTGGGTCGCGACCGTTGCAAGAATAGCGCCAAAACTGTCAGTTTATGACGTTGCTCAGTTATAGATTTAAAACAAGAACATTAAGACAACGTTGCCATTTCGACAACACACATTTCCTGAAAAAAATATATCAAAATTTAATTAAAAAAATCTAGTTTTTTTAAATCTTGATCTTTCATGTCATTATAATAACAGCTTTGTAATTGTTTAATGAAGACGTATACATCCATAGAATAACTATAATATTGGCGAAAACCCAACAGTTTAACGGATGCATATACACAGGTATGAGTATTGAAAGATCAGTATTGTGTTGTTTTTTTCTCAGCATGATTCTAATAATAACCAATTGCTAATTATCTGGAAATTGAGCCAATAATAACCTCGCTGCCTACCTAGCCGGGCAATGTTTACACTAATTACACATTTCGTGTACAGCACGCGTAGAAAAAAGATAATTAAACGATTTAAACACCGCCCAAATTTATGCTGTCATTGTTATGAAAAAGAAATGTATGTGACGTCAAAGAAATGACGTTAGATCAGTGTAAGAAATTTAGGCTGTATTCCGTTGCAAAACCACGCCAACCAGACCTGTATTTCATATCGATCATCTTGGGCACCCTGTATATTTTTAATTAACTGAAAAGAACTTAAAGTTACCTTTCCAAAAATATAGCACACTTGATATTTTGTTATAGTTCCCTTCGAAATACAGAATTTTTAAAAGTTCGCCACTTTTAACTAGTAGGCTTTGGACCTTTTTGATAATATGCCCTTAATGAAACTCGAAAACATATTTTTCCAACAAGACAACAGCACCGTCTCTGAAAGCTGAAGTTAGCAGCAAATTTTTGCAGCCAATTTCAAGAATAATTGGATAGCTAACCAAGATCCCAGCCGTTGGCCGTCGAGGCCGCCTGACTTAGTGCCCATATATCTAATCCTATGGATATATTTGCGGAGGAATAAAGGTTCCTTATTCTTCCGTATAATCTAGACAAGAATTAAAAATACTTAGCAGTTATGAGAGGGTATCTTTCACCCCTACTGAGTTAATAAATTCCGCGAGAAATTTTCAAAAACTGTCCCGTCTGTAGTCTGCCCGAGAAAAATACGCAAATCTAGTTTTGAGCAAGGAATATTTCCCAAACCCGAAAAATTAATTGGTTTCACTCTTTTTGGTTGGATTGGTTTAGTTATTTGGTGAGTTGGTTAGCCTGGTTATTTGGAGGGTGTTAATTCATTGGTTAGTTGGGTTTTCGGGTTTGGGAAATATTCCTTGCTCAAAACTAGATTTGCGTATTTTTTTCGGGCATTGCAAGGTTAAATGTGTTGATGTTGAAGGGTTTAATATAGTTGAAATTGTTATAGAATTCTGCATCTCTCATTGCAAATATTATTTTCGTTTTAATTGCTGCTTACAGCTAGAATTTTTTTGCATCACAGCCGGCAATGTGGGCGAAATATCAAGTATGCTATATTTTGGAAAAGGCAATTTTAATTTTTTTCCATGAATTAAAAATATATACCTTAATAACGGGGTGTACCTTATAAAAAATTTTTTGTTGATAATTACTCTTTAATTAATAATTAATTATTGTAATAAAATTATACTTAAACCATTAAATAGCTCTACGTAAAAAGGTACTTTGGAAATGTTTTTATGAAAATACAAATTTCCATAGGAAAAAAGTTACAGGGATTTGGTAAAAATCCATATTTTGAAAAACACCCTGTAACTCCGAAACGGTATCAGATATCGATGTGCGGTTTTCACCATCATGTTTTTGATAAAAATTGAACTCCAGATATCGATATTAAAGGATATTAGTTTCCGTCTATCGTCCCCATATCGCCCCACCCTGTATAAACGTACTTTAATTGTATTTAAATTAAATTCTTCGTGTTAGTCTTCAAATTTCGCTTTTTTCATGTTACAACAGTCATTTCGAAATGTGTTTTAAACCTAATACCTAATAGAACAATATCACTGTGTTATGATCTATGTCTGGTAAAAATCAGTATGCACAGTACATTTTGACATTGTCATTACTTAAGTACCTCGCCGTACCTTTTGAATGATAATTCTTACATAAAAATTCTTTACCAATGCACCAAAATAAAGCAATTATATAATTTCTTTTATGGAACAATTCTATAATCGAAAGTTTAATTGATTACTAAAATGAGAGAAGAGTAGACAAAATGTTTATTTATTATATTATGTGTGGTCGCGATGAATTATATACCGGGTGCGTCTCAAAAGTGGCTCACCCCTATAACTTTTTTATTTTTTAGATAAAAAACGAGATTTGGTATGTTAGTATATGATATAAATTAGGATTGATTGACGTATTCAACTGTTTTCGGCCACTTCCTGCTTCACCGGAAATTACTACGACTTTTGATTTTTAAATGGCACCCTCCGTTTTTTTAAACTTTATTCGATAGAAAATGATACACACACACTCTGAATCGAATGACATATCATATGTCAACTTTTGACATATTTGCTCAAAAACAAATTGTATTTTAAATTTCAATCTAGAGTGCCATGGCTGTGTTAAAAACACTAATTTTTAATCAAGGAGCCTTGGAAAAATAGATTTGATCTAATGTTGTCTAATGTTTTTAGTGTCTTGCTGTGGCTGGTTAAGTTGTATTTTTAATAATATCTCAATTTCTTGGCTCATTAGCATATTTGGATGAAGCATTTTTTTACGAATAATTTGATACCACACACTTGGTATTTCGAGATGTATAATTTCAAATAAACGGTATTCAAAAATGTCAAACGTTGGCATATGATATATGTCATTCTATTCAGAGGGTCATTTTCTATCGAATAAAGTAAAAAAATACCGAGGGTGCCATTTAAAAATCAAAAGTTGTAGTAATTTCCGGTGAAACCGGAAGTGACCGAAAACAATTGAATATATCAATCAATCTTAAGTTATGTCATATACTAACATACCAAATCTCGTTGTTTTATCTGATAAAATATAAAAGTTATAGGGGTGAGCCACTTTTGAGACGCACCCAGTATAGAAGAACATAATTTTTTTCAGTAATTTTTTTTAATAATATACCCGTTAAAAATTATCATAATCACCATTTCAAAGACTTCCATGACACCGTTTTTATTTTCTATAGTATGCTATTAAGATATTTCTTGTTTTGGTGTATGTGTATTGTTTGTAATTTTCTTTATTATAATGCTCATTATTTCCAAATTAGACAACGGTTAGATCGGGTGAACTTTTTTTCCTTAAATCACTGTTTTGTAAACGTCTTTTTTAAAAACATCTACTTTTTCTGTTTATTTTAGGAAATAGGTTGAAATGGTTTTTTTTTCATTGTCTCACTTTTAAATCATATCTGGACGACATGAATTTTCGAAAAAAATTAAAAATAAAACACGGCAGGTGTTGGCAACACACTCAAAAATCTAGAAAAATTATTTTCGAAAAATTTTCAAAAAAAAAAATGTAAAGCACTTACTTCCAGCTATCGATCTAATATTTCTTTCCAGTTCCAAAGCTAAAATACCTTCCCTTGACCCGGTAAACATGATTACCCTTATTTTTTTACACGAAAAAAATTGCTTTTTACCCCAAAACAATTCACTATCTCTCGATTAATATCTCAAATCGCAGCGTGCCTTGATCGCAACCACCCCTGTTCATTCTTTTGTCTTTTTTCTGTTTCTCAACGCCTTTGATTCGTTTGTTTTGTCGATGATCGAGTTATGAACCTGTGGAAATGACGAAAACCCGAAAGAAAAAAGACAATCGATGTCGATACGTCAATTTCCGACGCCGTACTGCCGGCGGCGGCGTCTTTTTCGACACGCGACGCCCGCCGTGACGTCACCACGACGGACGGCTCGCGCCCCAGTGGTTGCGACGTTGCCAAGCTGTCAGGTATTTCTTTGATTTAAAGAAAAATCTAATTTTGAATGAACTTTTTGGAAAATTTGGAATAGGTATTCAAAATATTTAATCAATTTTGTTTTGAAAAATCAAAAGAACACTGCTATTTTTCAGCGCCGCGGAGGTTCCAAGGAGAACGACAGTTTATATTGAAATGCAATTTTGTGAGCCTATGTAGGTTAATTCAGAGCATTTTTTTAAAATATAGAAAGTACTACAGGGTGTCCCCAAAAAACTTACATATCATAGTTGTGTTTTTTGTAATGGAACACCCTATATATTAATTGATTTTCGGATTCTGGGAGAAAAATAAAGGTGAGTTTTGTAAGAGAAATATATGACTAAAATGTAAGATTTTTGACATATTTAACATTTTCTAGAAATATAGAAAATTTGTTAAATTACAGTAAAAGTTACCTAAATTGGAATTTACACGGTATAACCTAATACGTAGTAGTAAGTAATTATTAATAAAATAGTAAATTAAAACAAAAATTAACTATCGTACTTTAAATCAAATTAAAACTTGATCCAAAAAGTTATACAGAGTGAGACAAAATTAATATTGAACATTGGTCACTTTCAAAAGTATTTTTCTCTTTTATTTTGAATGGAACATTCAGTATATTATTCCGATATTCAAAGGAGAATTCATGTCTCTTCAAAATTCTATTAAGGTTGCCTACCTCTCAAACAAAGATTTTCCTAGATATTTTCATTTACATGATTTGATCTGAGTAGATCTTTGTTATTTGATAAAATCTAGGTGGCTCGTAATATGTCTGGCGTTACATAGCTGTCTAATTAGTCCAACTTAATTAGTCTTAATTAACAACTAGTTATCATTTTGTGTCAGTTAAAACAAAAAAATTTCTCAGAAATTTGTCGAAAATGCAAACTTATCCTACATCAGAGAGAATTGATATGATTCTATTAGTAGGTGAATGCAGTGTGCATTCACCTACGTCATTTTTAACCCAAAAGGCTAATATTTAACCAAACTTACAGATTTTAGGGGGGGCCCGGGCCCCATGGGCCCCCCTCTGTATCCGCCACTGTTACCAATCCATTCTTGGATTTAAAAAATACAACTTATAACATCTCCTATAATAGATATATCTTTACAGCTACCTGAAAGTATGTCCAGAGTAAATGGAGTTTTGCAGAGTTTGATAACTCTGACTGGAGGCAAATTAGCTAAATTAGGTAGCTAATTAGCTAAATTGGAGGCAAATTAGCTAAATTAAAGGTAGTCTTAAGGGCTTGTCTTGATGTAATGCTATTGTATAGAGTGTATTTCAAAGGGTTAATATGTTTAATATAGCTTGGCCTGTGATATAGCTTTAAAAGATAATTTAATCCTGACTGAAACAAGTCATCTTTGTTAGCATTTTTTTCTAAAAATACGTCGAGGTATTGCAAAGGTCGTCATCTTTTTCAAGTACCGACAAGCACATTTTTGACTTGTTTCAGTCAGGATTAAATTATCTTTTAAAGTTATATCACTGCCCAAGCTATATTAAACATACACTCTATACAATAGGATTATGTTAAGACTAGTCAGGAGATAATTTCAGGTAACTGTAAAGATATACTATTATAGGAGATGTATAAGTTGTATTTTTTAGATTGAAGAATGGATTGGTAACAAGTTAGATCCTTTACAGGGCTTTACAATATGGATGGAAGAAAGATCAAAAAGGCAATCTGACACCTATTCAATCAAGATGTGGCGCCTCCTGACCTACTAAAATTATTTTTTTGCAATTGCAAAGAGAGTCAGTGCTCTAGAAATTGCTCTTGTAGAAAACTGGGTCTTAAATGTTGTTCAATGTGCTGTCAGTGCTACGGAATCAGTCGCACAAACTTTTGTATTTTAGTTGAAGAAGTTGAAGTCTTTTAGTTAAAATTACCTTTTTTATTAAAATAAATCAAATTTAGTAGCAAAAATGATTCACATTTTTCTATTACAAGACAAAAATAAAACAGATTACTAACGTTTCGTTGTACTATAAGTCAGCGTATTTATCGAGAATCTTGAAAAAATGCAAATACAACGTGTTAATTTCCAAAACCAACACCAAAACGTTGTTTTTCATCTCAGAGAGAAATTCTAGTACTATATAAAGAAGTACTGACCACCATTTCGGCATATTTTTACTTCAAAAAGCGGTCATAGTGGTTTGAGAGAAAAAAACGCCGAAAAATTCAAAATGGTAAGTGAACATTTTATTTTTTTCTCTATATAAAATGCTTATTATATTCTCTTTTTTATTTCTAGCATTTTAAAGTGTCTCTCATAATTATTTCGTTGTTTTTGACAATAATTTCCACCCATCCAACAAAATTTGAGAAAACGGATAGTGCCGAACTGCTCCAAACTAATAAGGAACCGTCCGAACTTGTCCGAAACCCAACTAAACATATTTCAATTAAAAGAAGCGTTGTGGAAGATCCAGAGGATATGGAAACTGCAGAAGCAATCATTTTTAGACCTTTGTTCGTTTATAGAAAATATGTAGTGAATAGAAGAAGGTTATCCAGAAATTAGAATGACTTTTGGTTGGATTGAGATATATTGGATCACTGTTATGGAGCCAAAGAACTATTTTTTAATTATCTCTGTGTGTTTGTGATATTATTTATATTTGCTTTTCAATTATTTTTGTTATAACGCTATTAAGTTTTATTTTAAGATTTTTAATAAAAATATGATATTACAGAAAAAGTTTTCTTTTTGTTTATATTTTTATATACTAAAATTGACAAATGTAACTACATAAATAAATAAAATACAGAATATGTTTAATAAAGGTATTTTTTATTAAAAAAATTGTACATATTAAATAAGCGTTCTTTAATTGTTAACAACTATTAATAAATTTATAATAACATTGTAACAGGGGAGCTCAAGATGCTCCAGTAAATCCCCATCTTGTATAAATAAATAATTAAATTATTAATGTTCTTAAAATATATACAGAAATAAATAACTTATTTTTGAAATAAAATAACACAAAATAAGGAACATGGTTTACAAAAAAAATATATATTTAAGAATTTTCTTTTAATTTCTGTTTTTACCATACAACAGTGGGTGCGTCATCATCTTTGTCCAGATATCCTACGTCAGAACCCTTTCTGTCATAGCCTGCCCAATCGTCATTGTCATAGTAATTGTCACTGTCATCATATCTGTTAAAAAAGATAATAATATTGGCTCAGAATTGAATAATCATACTTACAGGGTCGCTTTTATGTTATGTATGAAAACGGTCGATTATTAGCTAAAATATAGGGGGTACCGCAAAAAGTTAAATACAAAAGTTATAGGATTTTTAAATATCTATTAGCGAGTAATAGATTTAAATATACAGGGTCGTTCATAAAGTCGTGGCACATCAAAGTTTCATTTTTTTAAAAAGAACCTTTGTATATTATTACATATTTCAATTCTTCCTTCAATTCTAAGCAAAAATCGAAATACACATAATGTATCAAACCAACCGTTTCCGAGTTATTGACTTTTGAAACTGTTAGTTTGGTTTGGTTTGGTTTGGTTTGGTAACAAACTGTTAGTTCATAATCATCTGCTGATGATGCTAACATGGTTAGCGAAACGCGCGTCCAGTATAAAAGTAAAAGTGTTTTGGTGTATTGTGGTGATTTAGTGTTTTTATTTTGCTGTGTAACACCAAAGGTTCCAACCCTCAACTGTAATAACATCTATAAATGCTAACTTGAGAACTAATGTCAAATAGTACCTATCACAATTTCGGCAGAATGGCATCGTTAAATGAAACTGAACATATCAAAATTAATTAAATCAAATTTTGAGGTACATTGTGTGTATTTCAATTTTTGCTTAGAATTGAAGGAAGAACCGAAATATGCAATAATATACAGGGGGTTCCGTTTAAAAAAATGAAACTTTTATGTGCCAGGACTTTATGACTGACCCTGTATACTTAAATTTATTACCCGCTAATAGATAATTGTATTTGTAAACCCTATAACTTCTATATTTAACTTTTTGCGGTATCTCCTATATTTTACCTAATAATCGACTGTTTCCATACATAACAGCGACCCTGTATATAAATTATGCATTTGTCATCCATTAAGTTGTCAAATGATGTTGTCAAACCCCCAAATAATGGTTATATTAAGTCTGTAAGATTTAATCTAACTGACCTTTGTCTATAATTTGATGATCTCCTCACTCTGACAACCCTAGGGGTATCGTCAAAGTAGAATGTATCCAATGATCTTGTTTTGAGTTTTCTGACTTGCTGTTGGTTAGTGTTTTCTGGCACACGCTCTATATTTTCAACTGTGTACCTGTCGTTTCCACTTAAAGCCTGGTTGTCATTGTCAGGTGTATATTTTACTGGATTAGAATGAACCAAGTAAACTCCAAAAATCATGATAAAGGAGGCAATCTAAGAAAAGACAGAATAAAAGATATTTTTAAAATTTTTAGCTCTGAAAATAAAGTGATTTATTTTAGATAAAATAGATAGAAAAACATAGTAAGAGACAGCTTATATATAGAGGATCGGTTTCCCCCCTCAACCAAATCTCTCCATGATAGCAATGGAGAAAGTGGTAAAATATCTGTTCCCTAACCACAAATCTGTGATATTTAAGTGCTGTGATATAGATAAGTTTGAATGTTTTACAAAGGATGAACGACTAATGGCTTGTGATAGGTTAAAGAATAATAAAGCACCAGGGCCTGTTGGTATTCCTCCAGAAGTTATTAAAGAGATGGCCAAGGTGAAGCCAGACTATGTGTTGTCAGTGTATAATCAACTTGCCCGGTCAAACTGCTTTCCGACTCAGTGGAAAGTTGCAAAGTTATTATTAATCCTAAAACAAAATAAAAATATAGGCGAACCAACTGCATACAGGCCCCTCAGCCTCCTGGACGTTGAAGGGAAGATATTTGAACAACTAATACTGGGAAGATTAAACAGCGAAGTAGAGAGAACTGGTGGACTGTGCGACAGACAATTCGGATTTAGAAAAGGACGCCAAACGGTAGAAGCAGTGACCCAGGTTATTAATATAACTAAAAAAGCAGCAGCATTTAGTCATCGAAACCGCAGGTTGTGTGCACTGATAACACTGGATGTTAGGAATGCTTTTAATAGCACGTCGTGGCAGCTAATCTTGGAAGAATTGAGGGAGAGGGGCATTAAAAATAGCCTAATAAATATAATAAGTTCTTATCTGTCCGAGAGAAAAATCTTGGTGGAAACTGAAGAGAGAACGAAATTGGTAAGAATAAATTCCGGAGTTCCGCAGGGATCTATTCTTGGTCCCACATTGTGGAACATTTTGTACAATCCCCTGTTAAAGTTGGATATGCCAGAGGGTACTAAAAAAAAAAGAAAAAATAAAAAAATAAAAAAAAAAAAATAGGGGAAAACCGCTATGAAACGGACGGGTGTTGAAACGGACATTTGTCTTAAGTCCTATTTGATTGAATAGCCGAAACTTTTACGGTTACATTTGGCAACACCGCGCGCCGCTTCCATTACCACCAAAATTGCGGGCTGAACTGGCTGATCGTGTCTCGGCGGCAAGAATTTTAATATTAGGTGTTAAAAAACTAATTTTCTTTGTGAAAATATCGAACTATGTCACAGGTAAGCTATTGAAATTTTGTCAAATTCAGATTAATAAGTTTAAAACTAAGTTATTATAGTACACAAATGAAGGTTTAGACCGTATAAAATATTTCTCTATTTACACTTTATATTGTCATTTAGTGGTTAAGTGGGTGTTGTCTTGAAATGGACACAAGACGCCGTATTGAAATGGACGTGTCCGTTTCAATACTACATGTCCTTTTCAAGGCTTTGTGACAAGTTTGTTAAGGAATAGTAGATAATTTTTAAACTTTTCATTAAAATTAGTTGTTTATTTTTCAGATCACTATTTCTACACGAAAGAAAAGGTTACGACCAGCCAGTGATGTAATCGAAACCGCCGTAAGAGAAGTTTTTGATAAAAATCAATCTATCCGGTCGGTAGCGGCAGCCCATAACTTTTCCAAACCTTACTTAACTTCAATTTGTAAAAGAGCTAGAACTCAGAAGGAAGATTATCGTCATCGACCTAACATAGTTAATAAACGTATTTTCTCCCTTGAACAGGAAAAATTATTGGTTGATTATCTGAAAACATCATCAAAGATGTGTTACGGTCTCACAACCGTGCAAGTCAAGGAACTTGCCTACCAGTATGCAAAGGCTCAGGGAATTTTACCGAAACCTTGGAAAGAAAAGAAGATGACATCAAAAGACTGGCTACTTGGTTTTATGAAAAGAAATTCAACATTAAATTTAAGAAAACCCAGAAAACACTTCTCTCTCTAGAGCGACTTCATTCAATCCAACGAATGTCAGTAATTTTTATAGCAATTTGGAGCGAGCTCTGGAAAAACATAAATTTAAGCCCCATATGATTTGGAATTTAGACGAAACCGGCTGTCTCACGGTTACAAATCCTCCAAAAGTTTTAGCAACTAGAGATACAAAACAGGTCGGGCAAGTGACTTCAGTCGAAAGAGGTAATTTAGTTAGGATGCTTGGATTTATTAATGCCTCTGGAGGAACAATTCCTCCCGTTTTTATATTTCCCAGAGTGCACTTTAAGGAAATTATGCTGAAAGAAGGGCCTAGTGTCGCAAAAGGAATTTCCAATCCAAGTGGTTGAATGACGGAAGAAGGATTTTTGGATGTGAATTACTTCCACCGGTAGAAACTTAATGATAGTGAACAGTCAAGTAAAAAAGTTCCTCTATGCCAATTTATACCAAGAGAAAACAGAGAACCCAACACTCAACCTCACGAAAACAATAACGTAATAAATAAAGATAATTGTGTCTGTTGCAAGAAAGCGTATCAATGTACCAAAGCAGACTAGTTAAAGTGTTTCTTATGTTCTTCTTGGGCACATGAAACATGTGGTATTCAGGGTATTCGAAATTTTTATTGTAATAACTGCTCTTAAGATATAGTTTGTTTAAATTAAAGTTATTTTTGAAGCAATTAATGTCTTTTAACATAAATGTTCTTTTCATAACCACTACTGTCCATTCCAATACATCGATGTTTTGAAATGGACAAAAGCAACTTTTTTCAAACTTAGATATTACTCCCAATTACAATATTTCCAAAATAAATTTAGTAATATATTTTAAAAGCATATTGATGAAGCTTTCAACCTATGTAGTTTTTAATTCATTTCATTTTCGATTAATAATTAATATAACTCCTTTTAATAATATGTCCACTTCATAGCGGTTTTCCCCTACTTATGAATAAAGCTAACACCGGCCTCTTGAGAATTTCTAAATGGATGACACAAAAGGATTTACAGTTAGCACCACAAAAGACTGAGGCGGTAATTCTATCCACCGAACGAAAACTGGCACCAATTCTTTTCGATGTTGAGGGAACTTTGATCGTACCTAAGAATTCTGTAAAATACCTCGGAGTCTGGTTAGATAATAAAACAACATTCTGTGAACATGTTACCCAAACAATTACTAAAGCGGAAAAAACTCTTGCTGCATTATCAAAACTAATGCCGAACATAGGGGGCTCTAGGTCATCAAAGCGTAGAATTCTTGTAAGCGTAATACATTCACAATTGTTATATGCAGCTCCGGTATGGTGTAAGGCAACGGACAAAATAAAAACAAAGCGAAAGATAACAGCTCTGCAGCGCAAATTATGTATTAGAGTTTGTAGCGCTTACAGAACTGTATCTACTGAGACGGTTGGTGTCATTGCGGGCATTCCTCCTATCAACTTATTAGCTCATGAACGAGCGGATAGATACAAGGGAGAGCTCAAACAAATAGCCAGGAAAACTGTGATGGAGAAGTGGCAGGATCAGTGGGATAAAGGAAAGTACGGAAGATGGACCTGGAGACTTATACCCAACATCGAAAAATGGATTGACAGACCATATGGTGAAGTGGGATACCACCTGACACAAATGCTGTCTGGACACGGGTGCTTCCGAAAATACCTCTATAAGATGCGGCGGGCAAGCTCTGAATCATGTTTATTTTGTGGTCAAATAAACGACGTTGAACATGTGTTCTCCTGTCCAAGATGGAAGGATGAGAGAGATCATTTTAAGAAGGAGAGTGGACTGGATTTCACTGAAACGAACTTGATGAGAAGCCTTGAGGGAGGTGAATTATTATGGGAAACAGTAAATAAATGTATAAATAATATACTAAGTAAAAAAGAAGAGGAACAACGCCACATGGCGTAGGCAGCCCCCACGTCGAAGTAATGCGTAAGTGGTTCCGGCGTGGTGTGCTTACTTGAACGAGGAGGGTTTTTTTAGCCGGTAGGAATCCGGCACTACCCAGTTATGGATGTCTTATGGAAGATTTTTTCCCTCCTCATCGCAAAAAAAAAGCTTATATATAGAGATAAACCCTATGTATAGTTCATATCAAATAAACTTTTAGTCACGTGATAAAGCTTGACACGTCACAGCGTTGCCCACTTTTACTTATTTTCTTTTAATCAAACTAATCCTTTAATTAAAATATATAAACAGTTATTGTTTACATCAACAAAACTCACCTTCGTAACAGCACTTAAGGGACACAAAAGGCCATTGCTACCACTTTCTCCTTCAAAATATTTTAATAAAGCTGTGATGATTTTTTTACGGCTATTAAGCTATCTTGTACACTTCGCACTAAAAGTGGTTCTAAAAAGAACAATGTTCGACTGCAAAGTCTGCTAGTAAACATTTTAAAGCTTAAAATATCACAACATAAATCGTTTAAACCAAAAACTCGTAATACAAAACGTCAAAACGAATGACACTGTCAGGAAATAAATAAATGTGGCAATTTGACATTTTTTTACAGCAGAGCTACCACCTGAATCCCCAGCGGGAAATTTAAATTCCAGTTAGTCAGCACGGCGCCGAATATGTTCATTGTTGGCAACAATGAATTTAAAAATCGCGCCCTCGATTAAGTAACTAAAAGTTTAATTGGTATCAAATATATATTATACATTATAATATATTTACCTGATATGGACTCATCTTTAAGCACAAATATTTTTTTTTATATATTTCACTACAAATATTACTCACACTATCTCAGAGTGAACTGATATAACACTACGATTGTTGCAAGCATTTATATAGTAAAATATAAGTTGATTTTTCTTATTAAAACCATGTTTAAATGTTCTAAAAAACGTTTTTGTCAAAACCAATTAAGACATTTAACGAAAATATTCAGTTCTCATAGAAAATTAGCATATATTTTATTTTTTAACGGGTGTATTTCCATCTTTTTTCCTCTAGAACAATGAAAAAAGATGTTTTGGAGGCATGTCCGGTGACAGTTATGCCATGACGAAACGAAATATATGAGAATTGGATTGTTTATTGTAACGTATATGCAGATTTATTTATTTATATCCTGGTTTTTAACAATGTTTGAGGAATTTGTATGCATTAACAATAGACTTATAATTGGGTAAAAGGATTTTGATATTCGATACGTACGATAAGTTGTGAAATTTATTGTAAAAATATGACATAGGAAAATTTCTGTTGCTCCTGATTGCAACAAAACAATTTTTTAAATTTGTTTTTGGTCACTTCCTGTTTCACCGAAAACGACTACAACTTTTGATTTATAAATGGCACCCTCGGTATTTTTTTACTTTATTCGATAGAAAATGCCACTCTGAATAGAACGACATATCATATGTCAACTTTTGACATTTTCGCTTTAAAAAATAATATTTTAAATGTCAATCTAGAGTGCTATGGCTGTGTTAAAAATACTAATTTTTAATCAAGGAGCCTAGGAAAAATAAATTTGATTATCTAATGTTTTTCGTGTCTTGTCCTGGTCGATTAAAAAATGCCTAAATCGTATTTTTAATCATATCTCAATTTTTTGAAATGGAACGAAGGACTAGTTGGAAAAAGCATTTTTTTACGAATTATTTGGTATCACACACTTGGCATTTCAAGTCAAATTATCGTTATGAACCTCATGGAACTCATGTTACAATTTCAAATAAACCATATGAGAAAATGCCAAAAATTAACATATATGTATGTATATATATATATATATATATATATATATATATATATATATATATATATATATATATATATATATATATATATACATATATACATGTAATTCTATTCAAAGTGTCATTTTCTATCGAATAAAGTAAAGAATACGAGGGTGCCATGCATTTAAAAATCAAAAGTTGTAGTCATTTCCGGTGAAACAGAAAGAATCAGTCCTAATTTATGTCATATACTAACATACTAAATCTCGTTTTTTTATCTGAAGAAATAAAAAAGTTATAGGGGGTGAGCCACTTTTGAGACGCACCCGGTATATTCAAAAGTCAAAAAGAGTCGACTTATTTTATTTTAAAAACTAAAAAAATGCTTAAATTTTGAAAACCACTTTTTCCAAACCTCTCACCCTGTATAGTTTATAGTTTATGTAATTAAGTTTGTTTTTTTTATGGAAACCTCGGCCGAAAACGAGAGACTTCCTGTATGTTTTAAATAAGCGCAAATATATTTCGGGGCAGTATAAAAAAATTAATAAATAAAACATCATAGATACTATTTTTTCGAAATTTTATTAAAAACTATTAAAAATATTTTGTTTTAAGGTTTATTTACACATGGCATTTTTTTTACAAAAACTACTATTTTTAGGTATATAACAATATCTATAAAAAAGTGAATTTTAAGTTGTATATAAAAATAAAATAAAAAATAAGATCCGCCACACTTTTCTGCAGCACCCTGTATATACAAAAATAATTTAAATTGTTTCTTAACATTCCCTAAAACTTGTCTGTTTAACATTTTTTTTATAATCTTCTAAACAAATGAAATGATGAACATTATCATTGACTCACTCTGTACAATACGACAAACACATTCAACAAAAATATTTTTGCCTAACAACAGGGTGTCACATTTTCGTGTGATATACAGGGTAAATTTTAAAATGTTGTTAGCGTTTTTAGTTTCATAAAAAAAAGTAGCATAGTAATGTGAAAACCCCCGCATCTTTACTTATAAACGAGAAACACCGTAAAACACACAAAAATGAGACACCTTGTATAATTACAGCCTTAGCCTGTTGTACATTTGATAGTTGTGCTTTTTGTCACACTCTTCCATGTATCAAACCCTTCACAAACTCCAGCACTTGACGTAAAGCCACAACCATCGACAATGTCAAAGTATGCACCGTTGCCAGCTGCTCGATCAGCGTGTCTTTCAGCGCAGCAAAGATATGCGCATTATCCCTGATCATCCACCAGAATTTACTTGCCAGCTCTCCCTTGATTTGGAGAAACACCTCCACAAGTTTCAGTATCTCTATATACGGGGTGTTTTTGATTAAGTGCACCCCAGACCTCACCAGGGTTGGTATAGGGTTAATTGTGCGTTTTAAGGGATGATTCTCCGTCCATCCTGATGCTTTGGAGAGGAGGTTCGCTATGGAGGTTGCAGTGTTGCCGGTTGAGTCTCCATTCAAGCCGATAGTGTACGAACCGTCTTCGTTTCTGAGCTCGTTGGAGTAGTACGGTGTTGCCAAGCTTATCAGCGACTGTAATAAGAGTTATATTATAGATTAAAAAAATAATTACTTTCTTTGGTTTGTCTATATTGTTTTTACGTATAATATTAGAGATTAAGAAATTACACAGTTGAAAAATTTACGGTGAACAGGCAGTTCCAAAAAGTTTTCTAAAATATACAGGAAAATTTAAAAGATAATGGACGATTTTCAACATTTTTTTGCGATAAAAACCTCATACGTGTTCCTGGGGTCGAAATATACCAAAAATATTTGAACTTATTATGTGCTTATTATGATATTATAAAATAGCTAAGTGCTTAACAAATTGCTTATTAATTTTTTTATTGTTCTTCTGCATTAAATAATTTTTTAACAGTCTGAAATTGTTTAAACATTTTTTTATAGTTCTATATTTAACCGTATTTAACTGCGAACAAGTCTACCTCCTTTTGTTTATTTGATTTTTTCGTTAGGAACCCGCCAATTTGTGTCGTGATACGTCACTGTTTCGTGGCTGCATACGCGTCCATACTATAAATATTAAAATAAATAGATCGACATAAAAGTCTGCAACTTAAAGAAATAAGAAAATCTAGAGAACTCTAATGCACGAATACACATAATATTAGATACTTATTATAACTATACATATAGAAAAAACTAAAAAATAACAATCAATAAATAGAAAACATCTTGTAATCTTCTATTGATGACTGTTCATTGTAGATATCTTAACTTTATATCGTATATTCTTTATTTTATTTAAATATTGTAAACTTACCAATAGTACAAACACTTTTAATACACCTTTATCTGACATAGTTATAACCAAACTCAACAAAGTACTCTAGTGAATAAACTTATAAGTAATGAACTCCAAATTTCAAACTTTTAATGCTCTACACTTAGAAAACTGTCATTTAAATCTCATTTGACTGAATTTCACCTAAAATATGTTCTGAGTCAGCGTACGATCATTTTGTCTTTTGTATTAAAAGTGATTTTAGGACTTTTATAATTAGATTTGAAAATTTAACGTATCTGTACAGGGTGTTTTTGTAATTAGTACAAGTATTTTAATTTGTCCGACAACAGTAACAGTTTTTTGCTAAATAAAATTGTTGAAAATTTTAAACTTTTCTTGATAATTTTCGGAAAATAAAAAAAACAGTACCTTGCAAAACGAATTTTATTTAAAATCTTAATTTTTATTGAACATATATGAAAAGAATTTTTTTATAAAAAAAACAACATATAAATAACTTAACAGTAACAATAAAATAAATAAGTTTTTTCTAATTCTATCTTAAATAAATAAATAGTTTAATAAAATCAGGTCACCATCTTCAGTTCATTCATCCTCAAAACCTCAAAACAGTAACAAAATATCCTCCTAAAGAAGTCTTCCATTTTAAGCCAAAGTAGGGTACAAATCTCTATCACTCAGATAACCAACCAAAGCATTATCTCTCGATGGCCTATTACCTCTACTTCTTCCAGTTTGAACCCTCCTGAACCTGAAAAGAGGCCTGTACACGAAGAACCCACCAGGAGCTTGCCTTTTAACAATCCCATGTTGCTGAGGTTTATATTCTGAGTCACCAGTACTTAAAGGAGAGTATTTAGTGCCTTGGGTTGGTGATGGTTCATTTTCTGAGCGACCAGTACTCGGAGAAGTGTATTTAGAGTCTTCTGACGTACCTGGAGCTTGTGTTTTAACAACTCCACGTTGCTGAAGTTCATATTCTGAGTCATTGATGCTTTTAGAAGAGTATTTGGTGTCTTGGGTTGATATTGGTTCATTTTCTGAGTTAACAACACTCGAGGAATGGTATTTATAGTCTTCTGTCCCACTTGAAGCTTCTCTTTTAGCAATTCCATGTTGCTGATGTTCATATTCTGGGTTACTGATACTTGAAGAAGAGTATTGAGTGTCTTGGGTTGATGTTGGTTCATTTTCTGAGTTCCCAACGCTCGGGGAATAGTATTTGGAGTCTTCTGTAGATGTCGTTAAAGAGTTTGCTGGGATTGCTACTAAAACTATGTTTGGTTGGCTCGGCTCTACTTCTGTTGCTTTCTTAGGTTTGGTTTCAGTGTCTTTAGTCAAGTCTGCATAATCTTCTGATGTGTTTTGCAATGTAAGTGGAAGAGAGTTTGAGAGGGAAACCATTGAAATAAAGCCTGCGAGTATCTGAAAAGATAATAAAGAATTGTATAAGTATTTGGTAGTAAATAGAGTGTGTCTTAAATATTCGAAATTAGATAACTCATAAGTAATAGAGTAAAATAGAAAATATTATGTTTTGTTTGTGCAGATCTACCACTTCTTAAATTATATGCACCTATTTAAGATACACCCTGTATAATAATAAGGGTAGTTGAATTTTACAATCTGTTAGTTAGAATTACCTAAATTTTAGGTTATACTTATTTTCTTACACTAAATTTAAAATATCCATTTTGGTGTGATTTTTTACTAATTCAGACATTTTGTTATCATTTGACTAAATCCTATACAGGGTGAGTCTTAAATAAGTGCAATTATTTTCAGGGCTAGTAGATCTAGATGAATGAAACATTACATCTCTTTCCCGTTTTTCAAATAAGTCCAAAATAACCGAGTTATTTGACTTTAAAAATTAAAAAAAAATATATTTTTTGCTTAAATTTTGAGTATCTATGTTGCCAGATTATCAAGATATTATGGTATTCAACAAAAAAATAAAGAAATTCCAATTTTTTTTTCGAAAAATATATTCGTAATTTTTTTTACGAAATATACCACTTCTAAAAATATTTGCCCTTAAATATGACTCACCCAGTATATTTCTATAAGTCATAAAAGAGATGTAAGATATAAGTGACAATAAATGATTAAGTTACGGTTGTATGTACTTACCAAAATATTTTGGTGATTCATGCTGAAGAAAAAGTTTAAAAAATGCAGTTTATTTTTTTTTCTTAGTGTTTCTCAGGGTAGATCTTGCTGATAACTGATGACTTAATTGCGAATACAGACCTGTATATATACAACTCGAGAAAGGATCTTTCAGATAGGTGCTAAGTGATTCCAGCTTCTTCGAAGTAATGCTTCATTAATAGAAATAATCAAATTGAAAAGGAATGAATTGACTCAAAAAGGTAGGTAGTTTTTTCAATAGATGGAGAATTAAAATATGAACAATTTTTGTATTTAGAGTATTTCAAAATTTTTAACGGTTTCGCAGACATTCGCGGTTTTATATTCCATATGGCATTTTCCACAGTAAATTTTTATCAAAGACACCCAATGATTTTTCTCTCGTTTTTACTGTTGAAAGTGCCATTTGAAATAATACTACGTGTATCTGCGATACCATTAAAGATTTTGAAAAATATTTCTTTTTGTTTATATAATTTTTTACTATACATGAACAGATATTGACAGACCCGTACTCGTCCTCGTTTTGCTGTCAGTGCTTGACAGGCGTATCAGTGACAATCGAATTTGGAAGTGGCGTCACAATCGATATCCAAAGATCTTTTAATGAAATAGGGACCATTGTGTACATATGTCGTCGTGTATCACTCCCGCATTGCACACTGAGAGAACTTTTAATGAATTGGAATAGTACGAAAATTCACCGCACAGATTTTTTATCTCATTTTTATCAAACGTCGAAATTCGAAATACGAAATAAGTAAATTCCCAACAGATATTCAGGCTGAGGCGACAAACGCCATATCCAAACTACTTCCATTTAAATCCCGAATAACTTATGAAAAGGAATACAAAAATTTTCAAAAATGGAAGCAATTAAAAAACGTGCGAAAAGAAATAAAGTTTTTAACCTATCCTCGCTGTTAAAGTATCATTTAATCTACCCTTGCGGTTAAAGTACTATTTTATCTACTATTTTTGATAGATATAAGGCAATTTTAACAGTTGCTAGGGAAAAATAAATATTTTTATATTATTTGGAACGTTTAAAATTGTTTAAAAAATTATTTGTGGCGTTTGAAAAAAAAAATAGCATAGAACATGCTATTTTTATTTTCGGAGTAAAAATTACTTTTTGTGCCTCGGCTGTATGTCTACGTCAGTCAAAAAATTTTAATTGTCTATATTTTTAGTAATTGTTGTCAACGCAGCGAAAAACCGCTACAAGTTAGCATTCACCTCTAACATCGTTCTGTGTATGTTCAGTAGTGTATTTTTGTTCTAGAAAGAAGTAAATAGAAAAATGCATGTAAAAGTCCCGTAAACAAAGTCCTGTGTAATATACAAATGGCATAGCTTTATCCACGAAGTTTATAAGATCTAAGTATTTGACTAGTAATGATGACGCATGACGTAAGAAATAAATACGTACTGTGCCTGAACCATAGATCAAAGAAAATAATCTACTATTAAGATAGATATGAAACTTAATAGTAAAATTTTGGGTCAAAGCGCCCCTCCGTGTTTTTAGTGGAGACTACGTTTAACCCAGCGCCTTCGCCTTTTCTTCTGTAAATGTTTTTTATGTTTATATTTGAATACAAAGGATTTATTTTTAAAGTTACACTGATATATTAGTATATCAGAGTAACTTTAATAAAACATCAGAATATATATATTTTACAATTTATTTTTTTATTTATTTTACAGAATTTCATGTAAATGATCGTAAGTCGACTGGCTGTCTAATGAATAGACCGAGATTTATAGATTTTAAAGCGAACGAAAAAAAATCAGACAACGAATACATACCATATATTTTTCTTTTATCTAAGATACATACCTTATCGTCTTTTGGAAACACGTACATTTTTGCAGTTTTGTTAGTTTCTTTGCAAGATGCAACATAACAAGAAAACACCATTTTTAGAGTTAATAAATAATAAAACTATTTCTGACTATGATATTTAAAATTTAGATAGATAGAAAATTAAAAAACAAACGAGTATTTGCAAACGCAGGCCCAAATTCAATAAAAATATAAATTTTTCCTGCGAAAATCAGGCTTTTTTCAGTGAAAAGGCATTTTTTGATTTATCAGCAGTCATTGTCAAGTTGACAATATACAGGGTGTTTTCGAACTAGTCTAAAAAAATATGGGGTGATTCCTCACGTGTTCTTAAAACAATTTTTATATAACCATTAGGTCTAAAGTACTTCCTTTCTGATCTACAGGGTGTTAAAAATTTAAAAAAAACGATTTTTTGGCTTAACATAAATGGTACACCACTGCTTTTTTAAAGAAAATATATTTTTTTCTTGACTGGCCAACCTTTTTCAACAAAATTTATCTTTTGAGTTTTTCTTGTTCATCAAACGGTTGTCGAGAAAAAAATAAATATACTTATTAAGAGCCCGCCTTAATTCGTTTTCTAACGATTTTTTATTTTTTAGATTAATTAGGAAACACCTTGTATATGCATATCACAGGCAACCAAATAATCTAGTAACCTCTAAAAATTATTTTTCCTACCACTAGCGACATACCGTGTTTTTAGTGTGTACTAAATTATTTTATCAAAATTTTACCATATAAGTTTCCAGGCAATGGCCTGAACAAACAGTATTATTTATTTCTCTCAGTGTACGTGGTTTTCTCTACGGGGCTGCTCATTTTGTGGCCATACGGTCAAGTTCGCATCCTAGCTGGGGTGCGATACGCATAGCAGTGGCATCATGTGCCACTGTGTATCCTACTCGGGGGCCACCCCGGAGTCTTTCGCGTAGGCTTTTTACATTTTCATTATCCCCGGTGTATTTTTTGTGGACCCGTCACCTTTGACGCGCTATACTTATAATAGATAGAGATGGAACAGGGGGTGTAAGGATTTGAAGCTTCTCTTTTAGCAATTCCATGTTGCTGATGTTCATATTCTGGGTTACTGATACTTGAAGAAGAGTATTGAGTGTCTTGGGTTGATGTTGGTTCATTTTCTGGGTTCCCAACGCTCGGAGAATAGTATTTGGAGTCTTCTGTAGATGTCGTTAAAGAGTTTGCTGGGATTGCTACCAAAACGATGTTTGGTTTGCTCGGTTCTACTTCTGTTGCTTTCTTAGGTTTGGTTTCAGTGTCTTTAGTCAAGTCTGCATAATCTTCTGATGTGTTTTGCAATGTAAGTGGAAAAGAGTTTGAGAGGGAAACCATTGAAATAAAGCCTGCGAGTATCTGAAAAGATAATAAAGAATTGTATAAGTATTTGGTAGTAAATAGAGTGTGTCTTAAATATTCGAAATTACATAACTCATAAGTAATAGAGTAAAATAGAAAATATTATGTTTTGTTTGTGCAGATCTACCACTTCTTAAATTATATACACCTGTTTAAGATACACCCTGTATAATAATAAGGGTAGTTGAATTTTACAATCTCTTAGAATTACCTAAATTTTAGGTAATACTTATTTTCTTCAAAAACAATTAATTATATTATATTATATAACAGAGATACACTAAATTTAAAATATCTATTTTGGTGTGATTTTTTACTAATTCAGACATCCTATACAGGGTGAGTCTTAAATAAGTGCAAATATTTTCAGGGCTAGTAGATCTCGATAAATGAAACATTACATCTCTTTCCCGTTTTTCAAATAAGTCCAAAATAACCGAGTTATTTGACTTTGAAAATTAAAAAAATATATTTTTTGCTTAAATTTTGAGTATCTATGTTGCCAGATTATCAAGATATTATACTTTTCAACAAAAAAATAAAGAAATTCCAATTTCTTTTTCGAAAAATTATATTCGTATTTTTTTTACGAAGTATACCACTTCTAAAAATATTTGCCCTTAAATATGACTCACCCAGTATATTTCTATAAGTCATAAAAGAGATGTAAGATATAAGTGAAAATAAATGATTAAGTTACGGTTGTATGTACTTACCAAAAAAAATTGGTGATTCATGCTGAGGAAAAAGTTTAAAAAATGCAGTTTATTTTTTTTTCTTAGTGTTTCTCAGGGTAGATCTTGCTGATAACTGATGATTTAATTGCGAATACAGACCTGTATATATATACAACTCGAGAAAGGATCTTTCAGATAGGTGCTAAGTGATTCCAGCTTCTTCGAAGTAATGCTTCATTAATAGAAATAATCAAATTGAAAAGGAATGAATTGACTCAAAAAGGTAGGTAGTTTCTTATTTAGATGTACTTAACATTAACTTAAAATACTTGGTATTGCTTAATACTTTTATTTATTTAATGCAGGACTATCTAAAAGTAATAGAAAGTGCAGGAATTCATTGATTTTTTTGTACAGGGTGGAAAAATGTGATGCGTTGACTTTTTAAAAAATAAAAATTTCCGTAATTATTTTACGTAGAAAATATCTCCTGGTAAAAATCGCCACGAGCGACCGTTTATAAGATATTTAGAATCGAAATAGTCAATATATGTCATTATTGACAAACGTTTTTATTAATTTTTGTTAAAAGTTTTCGTAGAAAATGCATTTTCTTATAATTTAAACCTCATTTATCAATATATCCATGGAATATTGACATTTTAGATTGTTTTTAAAGCAACAAATGTACAAAATGTACAGACTAGTAATATTATCGTTTTAGCAAAACGATAACATGTTTTGTCAATAATGACTAGTTATATTATCGTTTTAGCAAAACGATAATATTACTAGCCCATTTGTATGCAAAAAGAAAACTATTTAAATCTTTATAAAAGATTATACCATTAATTAAATATAACACCATTATTTCCGCCCATATACTAATTAATGGCATACTTAATTGTGTTCGTTAATAAATTATTATAAATAAATGTGGATTTTTGAGTCAGAAATCAATATAATAATAAGTTATCAAATTAAAGTCTTTGTTGTTATAAATAAGCATTTATTAAAAAATGAAATATCATTTTTAAGGTGTTACTTTTTATCACACTGTCTAATGCCCATACAAAATTCAGTTTTTTAGTATTTGGAGCAATTATTATTAATCAACGCAAACAGTCAGTTAATGATAGTTTGAATACTGGAATCATATTAATTGGTCCTCTTTAACAAATATTTAAACAGTTTTTTTTATTTTTTAATGAAATAAACGAATTATATCGACAATATTAGTATCTGTACTCTTTAAAAATTTGGTACATTTTTAAAAATAATCTAAAATGTCAATGCCATTGGGTATATTGATAAATAATTTCTAAATTACAAGAAAATGCATTTTCTACGGAAACTTAGAGAGATAGGTAAAAAATGGTATAATATAATTTGATAGACAATTAAATTGTGCATCTCATTCTCGTAAAATATACAGGGTGTTCCATTTAAATTAAACAAGTTATTGCCGTTTGAAGCTAATAATTATTTAAAATAAATTTTTAGACACTCTGTATAAGGTAGTATTATTTTTATTATTGCAACACAATAACTGATCAGTAAATAAACTTCAGTAAATATTTAGTATTAAAAACTTTGATACCCTCGGAGAAATGAAGCCTTAAAATTTTACTGCAATTTCACAAAATTGAAAATATTTCAAAAACGGTAAGGTTTAAGTATAATAAATCTTAATCAAATTTACCTTTATTTTAATCGTAGAAACTAAAAATGTAATAATATACAGGGTGTTCCATTTAAAAAAATACAACTTTGATATTTTTTACTTATTTGGGACACTCTGTATCTTGTAAAATTATTTTTAAATTGTACCTCTAATAGTCCTTCATCGAACCCAAAACTTACAATTTGTAAAAATCTCATCGTTTAGCTACAATACTCCGTGTCGTATGTGGTGAACAACCCTGTATATAAAATATGATTTAAAATGTTTGCGAGATCTTCCAATTAAATCGTTTGTTTGGTATTATCGTTCCGGAATTTTCTAAAATCTGTTTTCAAGTATATTTAAAGTTTTCCGGATATACGTGCGGGTTTCATACAGGGTGTCCCATAAGTAAGTGCAAGTATTTTAACTGGTAGTATAGCTCGACTGCAGAAACACGCTGCTGAGGTGTTTTTCGCGAAAAAAAATGTTGAAATTTTTTTTACATTTTCCGGAAAATATTGAAAAACTTTTGAGTGCCGCTTGTTCAGTTTCCGGAAATTTGTTTATAGTGTTTTTCAGTGTTGCCACCTCCTACGTTATCCACATTTTGTATGTTTATAAGTTATAAGTTCACATTTTTAAATTTCTACAAAAAAGTACTTAAATTACGTAGAAAAATTAACAATATTGCAAAATATTGTAACATACCGGCTGCGTCTCAAAATTGGTTCTCCCTATAACTTTTTTATTTTTTCAGATTACAAAACAAGATTTGGTATGTTAGTATATGACATAAATTAGGATTGATGAAGTATTCTTGACGAAACCTTAAAAATTATTCACCCTGTAAAAAATAATTTATCTCAGGACTATGCGGAATTTTTTACATAATTAGTACCTTTGCATACCTGGCTGGTACTGTGACTCACAATTGACAATAATTCAAGTATTTTTCCTGCGCTCATTATGACAAATAATGTCAAATCTTTATTGACATTCCCAAACAGAATGAAATTCTTCGTAATGTTTTTAGCCTGAATGGAAACCTCCAATCATTTTTAACCGAAGAAATTCTTGTTAGATTTTATTCTTTTTTGGAGTTAAAAAAAATGGAATTTTCCGGTGATATCCCTCAATCTTACATTCCTCCTCATCCAGACACTAGCCATAGACCTGCCAGGGTACTTTTTAGAGGTAACATGTCTAGAAGACTGTCTCAAGTATCCGGAAATGCCCTGTATTGGATCATGCAGGTCTGTATTAAACTAAAATTTGGTTTAATTCATGTATAAACACAGTTTTTTTTTATCAAAATTTTCAAAGCTAGTAGTAAAATTAAAGTAAACTCTCCAGTAAAAAATTCCGCCCCCCCCCCATATATTTTGACCAAGTTTGATGTTTCATAACTTTTTAATTTGTAATCTGATTTTTATGATTATTTATGTTATTAGTTTGTAGATAAATTTGTTGGCATATTTTTTTATTATTTTAATAGCTTATACAGGGTGGTCCGAACTGTATTCCGGAAACTTCGGCAGCAGATTGACTAGAAGTACAAAAATGCGGTTTTAACATTACTATGCTACTTTTTCATGAAATTAAAGATGCTAGACACAGATTTGTCCTAGCCCTTTTAGTTCCTGAAATACAGGGCGAATTTGAAATAGTTGCATTTTCTGACTTCCTTCGTATCTCGGTTATCTTATAACTTATCGAAAAGGTGAAAACAGAGTTCAGTAGAGTTTTTCACGTAGAATCCAGTGGCGTAACTAGATTTTCGCTGGTCATTCGTGAAATACGACCCAAACCTATGTTTTTTTAATTGGGATACCCCGTATATTATTTTTTAATTTTATTTTTCTTGTTATGAGCTTTCTAAAAATATAACATACTCTATACTTATTTTCATAAACAAGTATACCGGGTGCGTCTCAAAAGTGACTCACTCCTATAGCTTTTTTATTTTTTCAGTTAAAAAAACGAGATTTGGTATGTTAGTATATGACATAAATTAAGATTGACTGACGTATTCATTTGTTTTCGGTCCCTTCCTGTTTCACCGGAAATGACTACAACTTTTGATTTTTTAAATGGCACCGTCGTACTTTTTTACTTTATTCGATAGAAAATAACACTCTGAATAGAATGTCATATCATATGTCACCTTTTGACCTTTTTGGCATATGATTTATTTGAAATTATAACTTTTTATTTTTTATAAAGAAAATTTGACTCGAAATACCAAGTGTGTGGTATCAAATTATTCGTAAAAAAATGCTTTTTCCAAATATGCTAATGAGCCACCCTCGTTCCATTTGAAAAAATTGAGATATAATTAAAAATACGATTTGAACATTTTTTAACTGGCCAGGACAAGACACTAAAACATTAGACGATCCAGTCTATTTTTCCAAGGCTCCTTGATTAAGAATTAGTATTTTTAACACAGCCATGGCACTCTAGATTGAATTTTAAAATTCAATTTTGTTTTATGCAAAAATGTCAAAAGTTGAGATATGATATGTCATTCTATTCAGAATGTCATTTTCTATCGAATAAAGTAAAAAAATACCGAGGGTGCCAGTTAAAAATCAAAAGTTGTAGTCATTTCCGGTGAAACAGGAAGTGACTAAGAATAATTGAACACGTCAATCAATCCTAATTTATGTCATATACATAAACATACCAAATCTCGTTTTTTTATCTGATAAAATAAAAAAGTTATAGGGGTGAGCCACTTTTGAGACGCACTCGGTATAAGAAGCCTTAAGATATTGTCATTATTCTTTTTTGCCAGTACACACTAAAATAACAAAAAATATTATTTCAGATTTTAATACTCCTAACGTCAATTTCTTTCAATATTTTGTGCAATCCAATAGTATGGTTCCTGGTCAAGACTATTTTCAACGTAGTGTCCGAAGTGTTGATCTACATGGTTCTAGGAATATGTTCTGTGCTTATAAGCATTATTACACACTTGGATGAGTACTACACCAAAGGAAAACATCAAGGAAAAAGTGTTTTGAATGATACAGGCATGTGAAAAAAATATGTATTTTTTTTAGAAACTAATACCCAGTTAATTTTACATAAACACGACAATCACATGATTAAAATACTAATTTTGATTCTAGACTATGCGAGCTATAATACTGAAGTTCCAAAAAACGTGAAAAGGTTTGTGGATGTGCCAAAAGATTATTCAATATAGTATATTTCTTTCAAAAGGAAGTGTCTAAATTGTAAAGTTTAGAAAATATATTTTTACTAAAAAAACATATTTGCAGTTTGTTTTTAAAATACCGGGTGTGCATATCAAATAAACTTTTAGTCACGTGATTAAGCTTGACCGGCACTTGCTAGCTGCAATGGAGGACGCGAGAATTGATTCCAGATATTATTCCATTATTAAAAATATCTATGATAGTGCAACCTTCCAAGTTAAATTAGATGATGACCTCAAAACAGAAAAAATACTACTCGGCAAGGGCGTGAGACAAGGAGATACCATCTCTCCCAAGTTATTTACACTGGCACTGGAAAATGTGTTCAAGAAATTAGAATGGGAAAATAGAGGTCTAAACATCGATGGGGTACACCTAAGCCATCTGAGGTTCGCAGACGATATTGTCTTGCTGAGCACCGACATTCAAGAACTAAACACCATGCTAAATGAGCTAAATGAGCAATCCCAGAAAATTGGCCTTAAAATGAACTTGAAGAAGACCAAGATAATGAGCAACAATATCCATAACATTACCGTGGACAACGTTATTATTGAAAACGTAGACCATTATACAGGGTGTTTCAAAATAAATGCGAAAAACTTCAGGGAGCGATTCCTTGTTCAAAATAAAGGGTAGTTTGCTTCATAAACGTTGGGTCAAAAGTCAACCATTAGGGAGATATCGCGGTACAAAGATGGCAGAAAAATAATGTTTTTATTTTTTATCTTGAAAACGAAAAGAGATAGTCTAATGAAATTTTATGGGAGCATTACTGCTACGAAAACACACTTTCTGGTAATTTTTTCACTTTTTTAAAAGGAGTGGAAGGGGTTGAAATAAACTACCCTTATCATTCTTGTTAACGAAATTTAAAGAAAAATCTTATCAAACACATGCAAAAAAATTGATTTGGATAGCTTGGTTTATTTAGAAACTTTTTTATCTCTTGTGTTTCTTTGATAAAACTCGCCGATTTGAAATTAAAAAATAACATGTAAAGCATTACATACCAGGATCAAAAACATTTTTAGATAAAGAATCTAGTAATAATAACGATAATAATAAGAATCTAGATAATAACGTATTGCAGTAGAGTAATGTCAATAAAATAATATTAGAAACATCCTAAAAAGTGACAGCGGCCGACTAGATTTTTTCCTAAAAAAATTAGAGCAGCCCACTAGATTCTTTATCTAAAAATGTTTTATGTCCTGATATGTAATGCTTTACATTTTATTTTTTAATTTCAAATCGGTGAGTTTTATCAAAAAAACACAAGAGATAAAAAAGTTTCTAAACAAACTAAACTATCCAAATTAATTTTTTTGCATGTGTTTGATAAGCATTTTTTTTAATTTCGTTAACAAGAATGATAGGGGTAGTTTATTTCAACACCTTCCACTCATTTTAAAAAACTGAGAAAATTACCAGAAAGTATGTTTTCATAACAGTAATGCTTCCATAAAATGTCATTAGTCTATCGTTTTTCGTTTTCAAGATAAAGAATAAAAACATTATTTTTCCGCTATCTTTGTACCGCGATATCTCCCTAATGGTTGACTTTTGACCCAACGTTTATAAAGCAAACTACCCTTTATTTTGAACAAGGAATCACCCCCTGAAGTTTTTCGCATTTGTTTTGAAACACCCTGTATATATTTAGGTCATAAAATCAAGCTGGGCAAGGAAAACCAAAATACGGAGATCAAACGCAGGATCCATTTGGCATGGGTAGCATTTGGAAATATGAGCGATATTTTCAAGGATAAAAAGGTGCCCGTGAACCTAAAGAAAAAGGCTTACGACAGCTGCATTCTACCTGTGCTTACGTATGGCTTAGAGACTATGGCAATTACTCAAAAAACAGCAGAACAACTACGAGTAGCACAAAGAGCCATGGAAAGAATCATGTTGGGAGTCACCATTAGGGAAAAAATACGGAATACCCACATACGTCAAAAAACAAAATTAATAGATGTCGTTAAAAGAGTGGCAAGTCTGAAGTGGCAATGGATAGGACATGTGGCAAGACAGGATCCAGACCGATGGCCCCAAAAAATAATCCTATGGAGACCTAGGGGAACAACAAGAAGTGTGGGCCGACCAAAAAAGAGATAGGTGGATGACGTCAGGGCAGTGGCGGGAAGACAATGGATAAGATTGGCTAGAGATCGCGAAGCATGGAAAAACCTAGAAGAAGCCTATATCCAACACTGGATGGAACCAGGCTGAGAAAGAAGAAGAATTATTTAAAATAAAATTTTAGACACTCTCATTTTTTCACGCAAAACTGACAGGTAAAATGTTAGGTGTAAGGGGGCTTTATATTATCAACTAATTTTCAATCTTATTTTAGTATAGAACTATATAAACAAAATAAAACAGAACAACAGAATAAATGCAGACATTTATTGAGATCAAAATAGTTAAAATAATCAAAGAATTATATTTTCAAACAAGTATACTACACATTAATATTTAAAATAAATTACTTAATATAAATAAAACAAGAAAAAAATTAAACTAAAGTTGGAAAATCGTCATAATTATTCAAATAACCTACTAAAGCATTTCTTCTTCTATCTCTGAATAGTTCATTTCTTCTTATGGAGCTTCTACCAAAAACTGGAGCTTGTCTTTTAGATACCGGGTGTTCCCTTAAATGTCCAGCTTCATTTTGAAGCTTCTTCAAAGATGAAATAGGCACCAGCACGAAATCTTCATCACCTTTTCCTGAACTTCCCAACATACCTTCTTTAAACAGATCAAAAGTTGCTTCTTTATCATCGTCCACTTTAGAAGCTTGTTTGATCAAGTCCAAACCAGTTTTTCTGTCCAATTTAAGTATATTTTCCTTTCCTTGGCTAGAATTTTCTAAAATTTCATCTTTTAGCAAGGCGGAACTGGATTCCTTGTCACTATCCAATGTTTTTTCTTCTTCTTGGGATATTTCTTTTGATTTTTCTTGATTTTCGTGAAGATTTTTTGAAGAAATCTCAACAGGAACAAACGTGATTTCGTAGGGGATTAAAATGACGTCATCTGGGTCATTTTCGGTGAATTTTGGTGGAGGTTGTATGGGTACGGAACAGCACAGGGTGAGAAAGCTGAAGAGAATCAAAGTTTTCTAGAAAAAAATAAATAAAAAGTGTAATTTTTGGATTAAAAAAGTGTGAAATAAGTGCTTTTTAAATGATGACTGTTATAGAAAAAGAAATAGATTGAAAAAATATTTAATATTTACTTGTAGCATATTGTTGATGGTTGATGGGAAACTATACTCAAAATTACACTATATTTTCTCAGGTTTACACAGATTATTGGTGCTCAAATCAAAATATTCCACCTTTTATATGGTTTGTTTTCCTGTAAAATATTCAGCGTTAATTTTTCTTTGGAATTATCTCGAACGCTTAGCTTGCTTTTGTTTTTGTTTGTATTTTTCATTAATTTTGGTTTATATGTATCTATTTTAAGATGTTTCTATAATTCGGGAAAATTTGCTAAACATATTTGTTTTATTAAAATTTTCCAAATTCTCTTTAACAATACAAATATTTTGTTCAATTATCAACAAAATATTTAAAAAATGCGGTTGCTTAGTGATATTTTTGTCATAAACAATATTTAACATTGTTATTAAGGTGATTCGTTCTGTGTGTATTTTAAAACGTTTCCCAACAAGGTGCTAAATATTTCGTCGTTTTTGTCAGATGCCACGTACTGTGGGAGTTTATAATATACAGGGTGAAATAAAATTTCCAGGACGTGTTAAAAATTTTTGTGTAATATTAGTATAGGTATATCAACCATTCTAACGAACTTCCACTAGCCATAGTCTTTATAAGGCCTTTATAGACTATGAGAAGGCTTTCGACTGGATATATCCTAAGGCAATAATAGAAGCCTTAGCGAAACAAGGTATTGAACAGACCATATATAGAAACTCTCGCCAATATAATATACAAAGAAGCCAAAGCAAGAATAATGTTATATAAAAAAACCCAGTGTTTCCAACAGGCTAAGGAGCACGACAGGGAGACGCGATATCCCCAAAGCTATTTACAGCAACACTGGAAGAAATCTTCCTTCAACTGGACTGGATCAAGAAAGGATTAAAAGTAGATATCTTAATCGTCTAGGTCTAGATGCGTTTCCACCAAAAAACATTGACAAACAAACATTCGCAACTGTTTGTGAATGTTTAAAAACGTTTGCAAATGTTCGTTCGTTTCTATTTTTCTGTTTTTGAACAGGACAAGAATTCGCGAATTAACAGTAAGTTTGTGAACATTTGTCAACGATCCGGAATATTTGTACAAAATGGCTCCGCGAAAAACAGCTATTGTAAATGCCGCTGCTTTTATTACAATGTGTGTTTTGAAAGAAAAGGAGGCTATGAAAAAAAAAAAGAAAAGAAAACATAGGTTTTGGACGTCATACTTCTTGAAAACGAGAAACTCAGTAAAACTGATTCGTGATATAACAACAGGTGATGGAAGTGGCCTATTTAGGAATTTCTGAATGTCACAAGACGACTTTCAATACTTAATATCATTAATCGGTCCTAAATTAGGTAAAAAAGATACAAATTACAGAGACTGTATTCCTGTGGAACTGAGAGTGGCTATAACACTTCGGTTTTTAGCCACCGGAGATTCATACAACAGCCTTATATCAAGCACTTTTCATTATCCCACTCCATTTTTAATTTTTATCGACACAAAATGACACGTTCAAATTCAAATGGTCCCTGTTTTAAAAACAGTTCCGTTTAAACCTGTTTCCACAAAACGCGCACAAACAGCAAATCCCTTTTATGTACCGACATCGGCCGGAACATCGCCAATCGGTTTGCGACCGTTCGCGAACGTTTGCAAACATTCTAAATAACATCACCACCGGACAAATAAATGTGTTTGCCGATCATTTTGAGACCTACTTTATTGCCGATCATTCGCGAACATTTGCAAACATTATGCGCGCTTGGTGGAAATGCACCTTAAGATTCGCTGATAATATAACCCTAATTGCCAATAATACGAACTAAATACAGCCAGCAATAAAGTAGGTCTCAAAATGAATTTAACAAAAACTAAAGTTATGTACAACGAACTAGTAGACAAAAGTGACATTCTAGTAAATAACACAACACTGGAAATAGTAAAAGAATATATATATCAACAGTCAGAAATCAACAGAAGAATTAAGTTAGCATGGAGTACTTATGGAAGAAACTCAATCATATTCAAATCTAGTATGCCACTTTATCTAAAGAAGAAAACATTATTTGGCCAATGTATACTACCAGTCATGACCTATGCATGACAGGACACTTGGCAAGAAGAACGGACAACAGATGGACCTCAAAAATTACAGCATAGTACCCACGAGGATTAAGAGACCTAGAAGAAGACCTAACCTGAGATGGGACCATGATATTAGGAAATTAGGAGGAATAACTTGGACTCGCATAACCAACAATAGACAACCAATGGGCCCAACTACAAAGATATGTGAAGGAGGCTACATCATAATTGGAAATGCCTTGAATAAGCCAGTTATATTTTAATTGATTTATAATAAACTTTTTTCAAATTAAAATAGGCATTACTGAAAATAAATAAGTCCTGCATAATATTTTGACTGATTATTTTTAGTTCAAAAATAGAAGTTCCGGAATTTTGATTTTGGTTAGTAAACAAAAAGGATCACGAGTTGAATGGTGCAACACGTCAGTAGTAATTTTGATCTAATTTTTTCTGCAAATAGCTTTGTGCGTAATTGAAAAATTATGGACAAATTCAGTTGACGGATGTTGACATGAGATTGAACAAACCCAAAATATAAAAATTATTGTTGTACTAAAAAGTTACTAACAAAATATAGGTATTTTTTATTTTGAATAAAATACAGGATCCGGCAATAGTGCGTCGGGCATCTGTAGCTCATAGAATAAAAAACTTGAGAATTTTGTTTAAGTGCAGACCTAAAGTATGTACCAGGATGTATTTCAGGAAAATATTTTAATTTCTATAGGGTGGCTCAAAAAAGTGTTAGTGGACCTGGATAATTTTTTTTAAATGGAACGCCCTGTATATTATTGCATTTTTGGCTACTTTTCAGATCACTTTACATAACCCTAAGATATGAATAAATATATTTCGATAGTTTCAGAGATATTCAAAAATAAATCAAAAATATATATTTTTCGGCCCTTCTTAAAAAAATTATTAAAAATACAGGAACTGTTCTGAAATCAAAACTATATTAGGTATTTACTTTAGATGGTCTGTACTTACTTTGCTATAAATATGAAAATCGTAAATCATACAGGATGTCCAAAATTCTACGCCATACTTTCTAAAATATAAAATAATTTTTCTTCGTTTTTTAAATGGAACGCCCTGTATATTATTTTTTCAGTAGACGGAGAATTAAAAAATGAACATTTTTTGTATTTAGAGTATTTCAAAATTTTTAACGGTTTCGCAGATATTTGCGGTTTTATATTTCATATGGCGTTTTCCACAGTAAATTTTTATCAAAGCCACCCAATCATTTTTCTCTCGTATTGTACCACTGAAAGCGCCATATGAAATAATACTGCATGTATCCGGAAAACTATTAAAAATTTTGAAATACTTTAAATACAAGAAATGTTCATTTTTTAATTCTCCATCTAATAAAATAATAATATACAGGGTGTTCCATTTAAAAAAACAAAGAAAAATTATTTTATATTTTAGAAAGTTTGGCGTAGAATATTGAACATCCTGTATGATTTACGATTACCATATTTATAGCAAAGTAAGAATAGACTATCTAAAGTAAATACCTAACATATTTTTGATTTCAGAACAGTTCTTGTATTTTTAATAATTTTTTTAAAAAGGACTGAAAAATATATATTTTTATTTATTTATTAATATCTCTGAAACTATCGAAATATATTTATTCTTATCTTAGGGTTATGTAAAGTGATCTGAAAGGTAGCCAATAATGCAATAATATACAGGGTGTTCAAAAAAATCATCCAGGTCCACTCACACTTTTTTGAGCCACTCTATAGAAGCTAAAATATTTTCCTGAAATACATCCTGGTACATACTTTGGGTCTGCACTTAAACAAAATTCTCAAGTTTTTTATTCTAGGAGCTACAGATGCCCGACGCACTATTGCCGGACCCTGTATATGAAAATTTTGAGGGTAAAAGTTACTATAAATGCCACATATTTTAAAACTAAAAATGTGTCGACATATTCACCAGGGACGTGCATATGAGTTATCACTGGAATATTTTTCTAAAAAAAGCATGTACGCCACTGACCTTTTTTTCTGTTGTTAGCGAAATAGTTTAAGCAATTTAATGCCGATTAAAAGTTGATTCTTTATATTTCGGTCTCCTTGATGAGATGTTACTAATTTGCTTTGATTCAAGTCTAATAGCAACCCTTAAAAAATGTTAATATCTTTAACTTACCATAGTTTTAGATAAGTATTAATTGATACCTTATCAAAAAATATGAAAAAAAGTTCTTATAAACATGGGTATGGAAATGCATAGTTTTAGAGTTACAGGATGCTTTTTAAAATTAGTTTTTTTTGTAATTATCTTAAATGCTATTATTTTTTTATTTTAAATTGCTGTAGGTTGGACTAATAGTAATAATAACTAATAGTAATAATATTTAATAATAAATAAGGTAAAATATATAATTTATTAATTTTATTTTTATTTTATTACATAATTGTAATTAATAAAATTGCCTTTATCTCATCAAGGAGACCGAATTCGACAAAATATGGAAAAATATCTTTTAATTGGCATTAAACGGCCTATACAATTTTGATATCAAAATAAAAAGTCAGTGGCGCACATGTCTTTTTTTGAAAAATATTCCAGTGATGAGCCATATTATTCACGTCACTGATGAGTAGCATTTAGGGTAACTTTTACCCTCAAAATTTCATTCAAATCACTAAAAGTTCTTGGAAGAAAATTATAATAAATCGAAAGATTATTAAGACTTTAACACCCTGTAGCTTCGAAACAAAGCAGAATCGGACCTATATTGATATGAAAAATAAATCTTATTTTTACGTGAGGAATCTCCCCACGAGAGATGGCACATGTTTTTTGAAACACCCCGTATATTAATATAAAAATACTTAAAATTTAGTAAAATAATTTTATTCAATAATACATCTTGCTTTGTATTATACAAAACATACTAAAAACTACTTTGTTTATAACACAAGTTAATAGAACACGATTTTCATACAAATCAAATAAAAAAATTATTATTCTTAATGATATCTATTCATAACATCAAAGAAACTTACTTTTTAACATGTAAGAATACGATTTTTACAAATCAAATAAAAAAAAATGTTTAAAAATGCTCATGATGATGAAAATCATCATGATGAGGATGTGGTGGTGGATGCGGTTGATCATAGTGATGATGATGATAATCTTCGTATTGGTACTCGTGGTTTCTGTGCTTGGAAGTACCTCTGCTGTAGTGTAAGGGTCCACCCAGTATACTTCGGAAGAAAAACATCAAAACCATAAAGAACAGACATATCTGTAAAAAAATTTTGCTGTATTAATAATTTCTGATTTTTTTAAAAGCAATAATGTAGTTTTTTTTATAAAGAGAATTATAAGGGTGTCAATTACAGAGGGCAAAGATTCTTTTATTTCTTATTGAATTTAGTATATTTTGTCCCATTTTAAAACGACACAAATGTTGCATTTACTAATTAATCTTCCGGTATATTTGTATTAACGCCGCTGGTAGAAACCTTGTTTGTTGCACTATTTTTTTAACACCCTGTATAATTTATTTTGTAGTGTTTCCAAATATTGTTAACTAAATCATAGCAATTTAGATATAATTTTAATTTACGAAAAAAACGGAACTATAGAGAGATTTATAAAAAAGCTCTTACCGAAACCTTCATGGTACCTATCAAAAAATCACCAGAAAACTAAACGAAACGTTTAATAAACATACAAATCTTGATTAAAACGTTGTTTACATTTTCCATGGTTTATATATTTTCCAAAAAGTTACCCATCTAGAAAGAGGCAATTTTAAATAATTGTCTAGAACAATTAGAATTAATTCATAATAGGCACAAATCTCGGAAAAATGAATCTATATATTCTTAATTATGTAAACATTGCGAAATTGTTTGTTTTTAGCATATTAGACAAGCCCATTGTTCTAAAGTTTTAATCATAACCGTATATAATAACTGCTATAATACAGAGAAATTAAAACTAAGAAATTAAATATTCAGTTATATATATTCTGGAATTTCATGGCACAGATTTTTGTAGTAAATTTACCAAATTTACCATCCGTTCTTTAGGTTTACAACTCGTTTGTAAAATCGCTGTATGGTTAATTTGTGTGTGGCATGTACAGGGTGGACCATTTTGGTTGTTTCTATAGGGTATCTAGGAAACCGTGAGAAATATTCAAATTTTGATACTGCAGTCTCGGGTTCTTTTTTTTTGAAAAAATTACAATGGCGCAAACGGATCGTGGCTATCTTGATCGGTTTCGAAGCTACAGGGGGATTCTCAAATTTTGTACTTTTTGAACATGTTCGATAGTTTGTTTATTTCAGCAACCACGGAAAAATGAATTATACATTCTAAAGGCACTTTTCTGTGTAGAATGCAGTGGCGTAGTCAGACTTTTTTCGAAAAAAATATTTTTTGAGATATTAACTATACTTATGTTTTTTTTTAAATAGAACCCCCTGTATATTTTTAAATTTTCTTATTCAGCTTGGCATGGGCTTCTCGAAAATATATAACACTCTATATTTATTTTCACTATTAACCTCAACATTTCAAATTTTTCTTAAAATATCCACGTAATGGATAGTAGGCCGCGCCGAGTAACAAAGTAAACGGTTATCATGGTGATCGGAACATACCTTTGATGGATGCGGGACATTTCATTTCAATAGATTGAAGTGTGTGTATTTTAAATAATAAAAAAATGAGTAAATTTGAAAATTTTGAGAAATATAATATGTTAGAATGTTATATTGAGTCTAACAAACATAAGCAAATGGCAGCTGATTTATATTTTGAGCGGTATCCAGAGAGCCGAGCAACCAAACCCAGCCATTTTTAAAAGGTTAGAAGATAGTTAATCAATTTTGGATCTTTTCAAAATCCGGGCCTGAAAAATTATCAGAAAGAAGATGAAGAAAATCAATATATTAATGTCCACGGCAATACTAGCACCAACTTTAGAGGATCTCCAGCAAATAATAAATAAGATAGGGGACATGGGAAATCGTTTCGGTCTTAAAATCAACGCTGCCAAGACCAAACTTATGGTAATAGGACGCCAGCCTACAATCAACACCGCATTGACCGTGGATGGAAATATTACAGAGCGAGTTCCACGATTTAAATATCTGGGTGCCATGATCAATGAACGATGGGACTGCGATGAGGAAGTTAAACTTAGAACGAATTATGCAAAGTCAACATTTTTTAAACTTAAAAACTTTCTATTAGCACGCAGTCTCCCGCTAACACTTAGACTACGGGTAGTAAAATGCTACATATGGCCTATCTTACTGTACGGCGCAGAAACCTGGTCTCTCAAGGCTAGAACCCTGAACCGCATCGAGGCTTTCGAAATGTGGACTCTCCGGAGACTCTTACGTGTGCCACGGACCGCACATGCCACCAACGAAGAAGTTTTAAGAACTGCAGGCTATGAACGAGAAATGCTTAACATAGTTAAAGAAAGGAAAGTCTCATACCTCGGACATATCCTTAGAGGAGACAAATATTACATTCCTAAGCTGATTCTTCAAGGAAACATAGAGGGACGGCGAGGCCCAGGAAGAAAACAACATTCCTGGCTAAGAAACATACGGGATTGGTGTAACATCAGCGACGCAGCCACCATATTTCGAAGAGCCGAAAACGGCAGTCTACACATTGTATGAAGAGTACAGACAATCGCCAACGTGCGGCTAAGCACAAGGCACAGGAAGAAGAAGAATGTCCTCGGAGCCGAATACGTGAATTAACAATTAAATAAAATGGAACAATACCAAGAAAATAAAAAATAAGTGTGACGGAAACAAAAAAAAACATATTTTAATATAAACTCAAGAGGTTACTTCAATCGGGCTTCTCAGTTAATATAAAAAAAAATAAAAATACAAAGACTACATTAAATGTTTAGACTGCTGCCCATTATTATCTAGACAGAGTTGCAACCGCACGCCGCACGCCGCACGCCGCGCCGTGGCGCGCCTCTAACAGCATTTCAATAGATTTACTTGTTGGATCTAGTGTTACGGCTCCTCACTGTGAAAATAATATCGTTTAGTAATTATTTTAATATTAATAAACTGTTTTGCAAAATTGCATTTTATGTGAAACTATGCAAAAATATCTTATTTTTACAAGTTCCTTATTAAAAATATTCTATCAATATTTTTTTTGTAAAAGTACTTCCCTATAAATTTTTTCAGTGTAGAAAGGGGTTAAACACAATAGTAACACAGAATATCTAGCGTAGCTAGATATTCTGTGATAGTAGGCTTTGGAGGCCGCTGTATTTCCAACTAAGGCCCTTTATTATTTGGGAAAAAATAAAAAGTAATAAAACATGATTTTTATATAACAATCTACTTTTAATTTAGACTTTAACAATTATTTTGTTTAGAACAATTGATTATATAACATTTTTTAGAAATAATTTTTGTTGTACAATGCTCCAAGTTTGTAGACGGTCCAGGGAAGGTTATTCGTTTTTTTTAGCCATGTTGGTAATATTTTCCACCACCTTTGTTGTAGTAGTGGTCGTCATGCCCCTTGTTGTAGTACTTTCCTCCGCCACCTTTATGATAGCGTTTGGGAGCCGCTGCAGGATCAGGAAGGGGCTCCCCCAGAACAACTTGGAGCAGGGCTAGCAACAGTACAAAGAAAAAACCCTGGAAAAAAGAAAACTCGTTTTACTAATCATATAACATTTTTAAATTCCCATTTTTCGGTACCATATTCTGCAGGTAAAAATAAGTAAAAACGTTTCTATAAATGCATGTCCTAAAATGTTTCGTTTTAGAGATACAGGGTGAAGAAGTTTCATTTTTATTTCGATTTTCTCAAAATAATTTTTGAACTAATGTAAATATTTTGGTGAAAATTGGTGTCTAGGTGTTTTTTGATATGAGAAGTTTGATTTTGATGTCGATATGACTCCTACTTGTAGAGGGCGCCCCCTACATATTTTTAACTGGTTTAAAGGGTAATAACTTTTCGTTTGAACCTGTATAAAATTACTGAGTTAAAAAATAAACATTTCAGCCGTTTTTTACGTAAAAAATGTCTGGTAAATGTAAGACATTATTTAAAAAAATCGAAATAAAAATAAAACCTCTACACCCTGTATCTCCGAAACGAAGCCCATTTTTGGACTTATGCTGTCGAAGTTTCCCGAATACCATTCGAACTACCCTGTATAGAGATACTTATACAGGGTAGTTCCGGGTTATACAGTATATACCGGGTGTTATCATAATATGTCAAGAGAATAGATAAGAATATTGGCGATCAATAAAATGATCGAAAATAAAGAACTTTGACTATATAGCGATAATTCATAAACTATAAGATATAATTATTAGAAACTTATACAGGGTGAATCTCTTAAATAAGTACAAATATTTTTAGGGGTGGTATATATATTTTTTCGCAAAAATTTGGAATTTTTTGAAAAAATTTTTGGAAATTTTTTTAGTTTTTAGTTAAAAAACACAATTTCTTGGTAATTAATCAATATAGGCAGTAGATGAAATTTACTAGAAAAAAAAAATCCAGAAAAGATCAAGTGGTTCTTAAAATTTTAGCAAAAAGTAATTTTTTTGAAAATGTTTCTTTTATCGAGATCTATACCAGCCCTGGAAATATTTGCACTTATTTAAGACTCACCCTATAGTCAGTTATAGAAGGATTATAGTATGTCCTCTTGGTCACTAAAAATTAAGATTCTCACTTTATCCACAGCTAAGTTACAGGGCAGATCAAAAGTGCAGTTATATTTGGCTGATAAAATACTATTATAAAAATTATTTTAACTAGTATTTTTTTTTGATTTCTAACTAAAAAAAACATTATTTATTCCAGAAAAACAACTGAGACAATTTTTATTAATAATAATAGTTTAAAAATCGCACAGCAAAGAAAAAAAAGTTGAGAAAAATCATAAAAAATCGAATCACTGAAAAATATAGTAAGTAAAATAAAAAAAATACTTACAAGAAACTTCATGTTGTAACCAATGAAGAACCACGATTTATTGAATGTAACGCTTCATTTTTCCTGCTTTTTATATTATTATAACCACCAAGAAAATTGTCTACTGGAAATCACATTCTGGGAAATCTGTCATACACACAGGTACGTAAAACCAGTAAACAAAGCTTTAATTAACTCAATTTAAATATCATTTTAATTACTACGTACTTGTAAATTCATATATAGAAGAACAAGTTTATCTCCAGCAAGTGCGCTTTGTTTAGATATATACAGGGTGGCCCGAAATGTCCGAACCAAAACAATACTCTCATGACGACGCAGGGTGATTATTATCTTGACCATTTATCTCGAGATTGTTTCAACAATTTTTTTCCTAGGTTTATGCACCCAGATGCAAAAAAAGTCAAGGAAAATTTTTTTCAGCAAGTTATTTCTAAAGTGTTATATAAACCTATAATTATGTGACGAAAATTATCTAGATGAAATTAAATCCTCAAAATTCTTACTTTCCTGTTAACTGCATAAAATGATTCTCTTTTCAAAGGATCTTTTCATTTTAAAAGGCATATGTGGAATTTTCTACTTCGAAAAGCAGCTACAATTATTTATCTCATGTTGTCGACAATAGTTGGTCAAATTTTGTAAACACTGTCTTTAAGATATCCCTATAAAAAAAACGACTAGATAAAATCAGGAGCTGTTAAGTATTCTATTAATTTGGTATTCTATTATTTTGGTATTCTAGTATTATATTAATAGTATATGAATTCTCTCTGATATAAGATAAGTTTGCATTTTTGGGCAAATTTCTGTGATTTTTTTTTTCTTTTAACTGACACAAAATGATAACTAGCTTCTAAAGTTGGACTGATTGTGATTAGACAGCTATGTTGAAGTGACAACGTCATGACAGACATATCACAGCCATCTAGAATTTATCAAATAATAAAGATCCACTAAATCATAAAAATGAAAATATCTAGGAAAATCTTTGTTTGACGGGTAGGCAACCTTAATAGTATTTTGAAGAGACATGAATTCCCCATTGAATATTGGAATAATATAGTGGGTGTTCAATTTAAAATAAAAGAGTAACTCGCTTTTAGATGTGACCAATGTTCAATATTAATTTTATCTCATCCTGTATACCTTTTTGGGTCTAGTTTTAATTTGATTTAAAGTACAATAGTTATTTTAACTACATATTAGGCTATACCGGGAAAATTCTAGTTTAGGTAGCTTTTATTGTAATTTAAAAATTGTTCTTCATTTTTAGAAAATGTAAAATATGTCAAAAACCTTATACAGGGTTGTTCACCACATACGACACGGAGTATTGTAGCTAAACGATTAGATTTTCACAAATTGTAAGTTGTGGGTTCGTTGAAGGTCAATTAGAGCTACAATTTAAAAATATTTTTACAGGATACAGAGTGTCCCAAATAAGTAAAAAATATTATAGTTATATTTTTTTAAATGGAACACCCTGTATATTATTCTATTTTTGGATTCTACGATTGAAATAAAGGTAAATTTGATTAAGGTTTATCACACTTAAATCTTACCGTTTTTGAAATATTTTCAATTTTATGAAATTGCAGTAAAATTTTAAGGCTTTATTTCTCCCAGGGTATCAAAGTTTTTAATACCAAATATTTACTGAAGATTATTTATTGATCAGATATTGTGTTGCAATAATAAAAATTTTACTACCTTATACAGAGTGTCCAAAAATTTATATTAAATAATTACTAGCTTTAAACGGCAATAACTTGTTTAATTTAAATGGAACACCCTGTATATTTTACGTAAATCAGATGTACAATGTAATTGTCTATCAAATTTTATTATACCATTTTTTACCCATCTCTTCAAGTTTTCGTAGAAAATGCATTTTTTTATAATTTAGGCCTCATTTATCATTATACCCATGGAATATTGACATTTCAGATTTTTTTATAGCACCATAATATGTACAAAATGTACAGGTGGTAAATATTGCAAGCCCATTGGCATACAAAATAAACTATTTAAATATTTATAAAAGAGTATACCAATTAAATATACCATCATTATTTCCTACCAAAAACACAAAAAATTAGTTAATTACACCATAATACTTATAAATTGTTTTAATTAAAAAATTATTCTAAATAAATGTGGATTTGGTTCAGAAATCAATATAATAATAAGTTATAAAAATGAATGTCTGTGTTTTTATAAATAAGCATTCGTTAATAAATGAAGTAAAATCTATAAGGTGTTGCTTTTTACCACACTGTCTAATACACACACAAAATTCAGTTTTTTAGTATTTGGAGCAATTATTACTACAACGTAAACAGTCAAATAATGTAGTTTGAATACTGGGATCATATTAATTGGTCCTCTTTAACAAAAAATATTTAAACAGTTTTTTTTTATTTTTAATTAAATAAGCGAACTAGATATATCGACAATATTAGTATCTGTACCCTTTGAAAATTTGTTATATCTTTAAAAATAAGCTAAAATGTCAATATTCCATGGGTATAGCGATAAATGAGGTCTAAATTATAAGAAAATGCATTTTCTATGAAAACTTGAAGAGGTGGGTAAAAAATGAAACAATACAATTTGATAGACAATTACATTGTGCATCTGATTCACGTAAAATATATAGGGTGCTCTATTTAAATTAAACAAGTTATTGCCGTTGAAAGCCAGTAATTATTTAATATAAATTTTTGGACACTCTGTATAAGGTAGTAAAATATTTATTATTGCAACACAATATCTGATCAATAAATAATCTTCAGTAAATATTTAGTATTAAAAACTTTGATACCCTTGGAGAAATAAAGCCTTAAATTTTTTACTGCAATTTCATAAAATTGAAAATATTTCAAAAACGGTAAGGTTTAGGTGTGATAAACGTGTGATAAAAAAAATCAAATTTACCTTTATTTCAATCGTAGAATCTAAAAATAGAATAATATACAGGGTGTTCTATTTAAAAAAATACAACTATAATATTTTTTACCTATTTGGGACACTCTGTATCTTGTAAAAATATTTTTAAATTGTAGCTCTAATAGTCCTTCAACGAACCCAAAACTTACAATTTGTAATAATCTATTCGTTTAGTTACAATACTCCGTGTCGTATGTGGTGAACAACCCTGTATTTTATTCATATAATTATCTAATAAAACTCTCCTTTATTTTACTCCCTGAATCCGAAAATTAATTAATATATAGGGTGTTCCGTTGGAAAAAAACCCAACTTTGGTATGTAACTTTTTAGGGGACTTCCTGTAGAACTCTATATTTTTAAAAAGTGATCTCAATTAACCTACATTCTGACAAAATTTCATTTCAAATTTCAATACAAACTGTCGTTCTCCCTGGATCCTCCGCATCGTATGAGAGGCGCCACCCTGTATATAAAAAGGTGTTGGTTATTCCAGATTTCCGACGGTTTGATGATAGAAGTTATTTTTCTGTGATCAGTTCTATGTAAATATCAGGTTTTTTGTAATATAATTCTTTACCGCATCTTGGGTTAATCCTGCAATAAAAATTGATAATTTCCTATGACATATGTATCGGGATTACTGCTGAAAATGGTATAAATTAATTCATGTTTATGAAAATTACTACGATTAATTTTTTTATTCCTGTTTTGGTTGTTTGCATGTATAATTCTCTGATCAGCATGACTATAATAATAATTAAAATAGGCTATATTTAAAATAATTTACATAAAATATGATTAAGAAAATGTAAAAAAATTGTCTGAGAAACAATGTGTGGATTTATTGAACAGGTACATTAGGGTGAGCCAAAAAAACTAGCTTATAGGATTTATGGGTTAAAATGAACCTAATAACCGAGAAAAATATATCCCCGGAAGGCAGGATTTTTAGCTCAATTTTAAAAGGTGTCGGTGAACATTCAAAGTTTTCCACCTCTAAATACACTAAACCAATAAACACTAAAGCTGCATTTTTGATTTTTTTCACTTTTCAAAGCTTTCAAATATACGAATTATTGAATTGAAAAAAAGTACTCTCAGATAGATTTTTGAGTAAATTTTATGCTCTATAAAAATCCGCGATGTAAATTTTTTTATTATAAACCGTTTCAAAGTTATGGTACTTTAAATGGAAAAATATTTTTTACGTGATATTTAAATGGATAACTTTAATGTTCACCGGCACCAATTGAACTAAAAATCCTGCCTTCTGAGGATATTTTTTTTCTTGGTTATTATACAGGGTTGTTCACCACATACGACACGGAGTATTGTAGCTAAACGATGAGATTTTTACAAATTTTAATTCTTGGGTTCGATGAAGGACTATTAGAGGTACAATTTAAAAATAATTTTACAAGATACAGAGTGTCCCAAATAAGTAAAAAATATCAAAGTTGTATTTTTTTAATAGAACACCCTGTATATTATTACATTTTAAGTTTCTACGATTAAAATAAAGGTAAATTTGATTAAGGTTTATTATACTTAAACCTTACCGTTTTTGAAATATTTTCAATTTTGCGAAATTGCAGTAAAAATTTTAAGGCTTCATTTCTCCAAGGGTATCAAAGTTTTTAATACTAAATATTTACTGAAGTTTATTTACTGATCAGTTATTGTGTTGCAATAATAAAAATTATACTACCTTATACAGAGGGTCTAAAAATTTATTTTAAATAATTACAAGCTTTAAACGGCAATAACTTATTTACTTTAAATAGAACACCCTGTATATTTTATGAGAATCAGATGCACAATTTAATTGTCTATCAAATTGTATTATACCACTTCTTACCTATTCCTCCAAGTTTTCGTAGAAAATGCATTTTCTTATAATTTACACCTCATTTATCAATATACCCATGGAATATTTATATTTTAGATTGTTTTTAAAATAACAAATGTACAAAATGTACAGGCAAGTAATATTATAGTTTTTAGTAAAACGATAATATTACTAGCCCATTTGTATACAAAAAGAAAACTATTTAAATCTTTATAAAAGAGTATACCATTAATTAAATATACCACCAGTATTTCCGCCCAAATACTAATTAATTACATACTTAATTATGTTCGTTAATAAATTATTCTAAATAAATGTGGATTTGAATCAGAAATCAATATAATAATAAG